ATCCCTACAACCAAGTTATCGGAGGACTTCTTTGTGTCAGAGTAATTAAATTCCATTAAACTATCTAAATTTTCCAAAAGGAAAAAGTGCTCTACACATTCAAATATGCTTTCAGGCTGAGCTGTTCTGTAGAGATTTTGGCAAGAAAGTGTACAGGGCATTAAAATAAATGTTGTTTTCATGCACAGATTTTAAACTAAAGTTTCATCTTGAAGAACAGTTGCTGGATGGATAGAAGACTTTACACCACCACCTTAACTACCTTAATAAGACACACCTGCTTTTTCTCTGAACTCATCTATCTCTAAACCAATTTCACTCTCTGATTCATCAAGACAGCTGAATTTCCACCAGCGTTGTTGGAAATACTCTTCTCTGACCAGGCATTGATACTGAAACCACAAGTCTCATCCAAAATTAATTGACATGTCTGTAACAGGACCTGGACAGAATTTGAGCAAACACTGGAAAAAAAGGATCCCCTTCCCTTACTGTGCTAATCAGCACCTGAAGAGATTTGTTCTCTATGCTTTGCATGTGTCTGTATTTGCATCTGTTGTCTGTCTTCTTTCCCCAATATATATCTGAAATTATTTTCTGAATAAAGAACTACAGCATCAGCAGCAACCTAGACTAAAAGGCATGTCAGGGAATAAGGATGAAGAAAAAATCCTTCTGATAATAGAGTTTACTAGGAATCATATAGTTTCTATCACTTGATGTTCTGAACAGTAGAATAGATGAAACATACGGTCAGAAAAAAGGAAGGAAGATTGTTTACAAGCTCTTTAACTTCAATTTCTGTGATTCAATAATAAGACACTATCAAATTCATATATTATGTTGTATTAATAACTTTGTGTTAATATCACAATCTAAGCTGATTGTTCCTCATTCATATATTTTCGCAAATGTGAAGTCAAGATCATATTTCTTATGCTAAATTCCCCTCTAACAATACAATCTGTCAAGGCAATTTAGTTCAATACAGTCAGATAATAAAATCAATATTTCTTTTTTCAAAAGCATACAAGTACATTATTAAAGGCATTTCAGTTATTTGAATTAGCTTTGCTATCACAGAAGATAGCGTAACGGTTTTAAGTGTGCAAAGTGTTGTTAAGTCTTTACTAAATAAACCTGGAAGACATTCACTTGTTGTAGGACCCTCCAATTTTTCAGACTGCAAGCTATCCAAAGGAAAAAAATTCTGAATCTGAAACTTAGCTAGAATACTCAAATTATGACAACTTTGTGGCAAAAAAATAATTTACCATGCCATTATTTCTCCCATTGCAAATTCTTTTCTGTCCAAGAGCCCTTTTAGCCTACCTTCACTTAGACTACAAACAAAATACACAAACTCAGCAATACATCAAAATAATTTGGTTGAAATTCACTGTCAAAATCACCTGTAAATCATTCTTCCCTTGGGAAGATTCTCTCCACTCTGTAGAATCCTGCACCTGGAGAACTGTCCTACCATTTATCAGGAAGTTTCCTGTATAGAGTTGTGCAAGCAATACATATGATTTTATAAAGCACAGCTGTAGTTTATGGAAAAATGTAATGGGGATCTAGATGAAAACGAGCATCCAAAAACACACTGATGTTCATATCTGTAGAGTTTTCAAGTCAGAACAGAAGAAACTTTTATACAGCATGATAAAGCACAGTACATCACTGAATTTTACTGAATATAGATTAATTAAAAATTTCTTTTCTATTGGTACTTCCCCCAATTTTTCAATAATATGTAGCTCTTTCCATATGTCAAATGCATTCTTTTCACATGCTTCCTTTTCTTATGGTGTCCTGTGCACACAAAAATGATACCACAGAAACCCTCTCTGAAGGATTTACCAAATCTAAATATCTGGCATTTTGCAGGTTTGAAGTGCTGTTTTGCATTTAGCTTTAGTTTAGACATTGTTCATAATGACAATCCTAGAAACATTGATCATAATGACATTGCTAGAAACCTTATGCTAGAAAAAGGATAATCTGATCTGTCTTTCAATACCAAATGTTGTCTGCAAACTGGAATCTAGGTAGATGATGAGATTTTAAACATCCTTTATGCATACTGATTGAAAATTTAATTCATTTACAGCATTTCAAGTTGCAAAAATGTATGTTAAGAACAGCTGAATACAAAAGAGTAGCAGGGAAAGGAGAAGACTTCACATACTAAGAGCTACACAGTAGGTGAATGATGGCATTTCTGAGCAAGCATAAGAACAGAAAAAATCCACTGGCTTTCCACTACAGTACGTGAACAGATGATACACCCAGAGCACGTCCTTTGCTATGCTTCTCATCTTTGCTGTAAGCACTTGCTGCTCTAAAGGCAAAGTTTATTACTTATTTAGGATAGTTCGGTTTCTTTCAAATACTGCTCAAACTGTGGGTCTATACTGATACTAGTCAGTCAACTAAACCAGGACAGCTCTTGGAGAATTAGGCATTCAGAGAGCCACATTGGGAACTTGGATTCTGCCAAGTACTTCAGTGAACTCATTACAGCAGACTGACATGAATCAATAATGAAATAAACTGGAAAGACCCTGATGCACAATACATTCCAGATGGTGCATTTTATTTCAGCTCCTAAATGATATTGAAATCGAAAGTGTACAAAGGAGACCTGCTAAATCATTAAGTAATTCTTAAAATGTGCCAATGTTGAATAATTTTCACATTGCCTAACCTTAAGCCCTCTCTATTTACTTGCCTTACTAAAAGGCAAACCTCACTGCTAATCCTACATACACATGGGGACAACTTGTGCAAAACCCACAACTTAAACATTCTGAATTCCCCTCAGCAGAAGGATATCTCTCTCAATTACGATATTTATATAAAATAAAAAGGGAAAGTAGGCATCTAACCTGAAACTAAATAATATGGTCTAAACACGCTCCTTTCCTCCCTACTCATACACTCAGTTCTAACACTGTATTACCTACACATATGACCAAAGCATTTGAGCTCTACAGGCAGTAAAATTGGCCATCCCTTTTAAAGGTGTAAAGGAATGCACCAGATTCATTAATATTCTTCTATATATTACTTTAAAATTCTTTCATCACAGCTGCTCAAAATACCTTGCTGGTCTAAACTGAAGCTAGGTTAGGAATCCAAACAATTCACATTTTTGAATTAGTGAATGATTTCACTAAGGATGATTTACCTAAAATTAAAACCCCTCTGGAAGCAGGTGCAAAGCTAAAACATTGTAAATATCTTACTCCTAAGATGACTACTTTAAAAAACACATCAGTTTTTTTTTCCTCAGCGGGTGATAAACGTCTCAGGGGGATTCCATGAGGAAACAGGCAAAGTGGGGCTATAAACAAGAAATCAAGATAATGTGATGTTGGTGCAATTAAGAGATACGAAAATCCTTTCAACCCTATGAGTGCTTAACTCTTCCTGAAAACTGACATAAAACTTATAAAATCTATGCAGCAGAAACTGCTAAATGTGCAAACGCTCTCATTATCCCCGTCAGTAGTGTTAGCCGGATTGCTGTGTCACCATGAGTCAGTCACTTACGCAGTCACTTTCATGAAGGGTATTCATTCCAAATAATTATCTCTGCCTCATTTCCCAGAGTTTGTGGTCTTGCTACTTTCTCATTTCATATTCCTTTTCAATGGCTTCTGTGATTCTATTTATTCTCTCAGAGAGCCTCCAAGGATTTCAATCTCAAAGTTTCTGAGAAACTCTGATACATCACATACAGGAGCGAAAATTCATCCATTAATTCACATAATGCAAGGAATCTGAGATTAAGTTATAGCTACAGAAATCAGCAATTTTCTTTCAAGGATAAGCCCGTTTTTTACTTACATACCTTCTTTTTATATTTTATTTCCTGTCATAATGTGGAACTGTATGACATTTTCTCTTTCAAAAAGCCTTACTTAGTTTTCCATATATGACAGAAGTGATATGTGGTAAAGAGCGTAATCATAGGAGGATATGTTGTGATTTTTCTGGCTGTTTTACTGCTTTATTCCCTGGCATACTGATATCCACTAATATGGTTATATGACCTTTACTGTGGTTATAAATTTACTGATCTCTTTCCATTAAAAAAATCATCAATTTGTGTATCTTTGCCCTTCTATATTAAGATGAAATATTAAAAGACTATTAAAGAGCCTCTGGTTTATTTTATTTTCCATATAAAACATTTACAATAACTATTCTCTTCAGCTTTCAGGGAAAATGAGTGCCTGTATTTCTGGAGGGATGAATTGCCAAACTGTGAGGTTTCATATACTGTCTAAAGACATGTCATTCAAAAAGTATGCCATTTTTAGGATGCTTTCTCTGAATAAAAAAATCACAGTATTTGATGTTTATTTTTTCCTTATGAAAGAGCATATAACACTTGTACAAGAAACTCCATTTGGCACATTATGGACGTTTTTTAATTGAGTGTACTCTATTTCATTTTGCATTTCCTTTTACATGTGGCATATCTTTTCTAATGCATTCCCAGCATTCCAACAAAAATATTAAGTGTCTAAATGTCTCTTCCGACTAAGTCACTTCAGTGGATTCAAAATTTAGCCACACCAGCTTAAAGAATGCAATGAGAATATATTGATTTCATTGATTTCATGGATCAATATATTGATCCATGGCAGTCCAGTTCAGTGAGTGAATGACCTAAATCACCTGTTCAGGTTACAAGCTGAGACAAATCAAATTCATGGCTTGATAAAGGCAGGTTGTTACACAGTACTTCCAAAATGGAGTACTCCAACACTTAGAGAAGGAGATAATATTAATGAGTTGAAAACAAAACAGATATAGTAAGTTTATGCGACAAAATCCACCTTTCTGCTTAAAATTCATTTCGAAAACAACTTTGGTAACAACTTCTATTTACAAAATGACATAAGATGAAGAAATTCTCCACCCAAACATGCAAAGTTGAAATAATTTGATAACAAGCATTTTAAAGGTAAAACTATTGTACTTACCAAGCCAACTTCTGTTTAAATATACTGACACAAACACTGGAGGGACCGTGAAGAAATCTACCACTGAGTTAACTTCTAGCCAAAACCATAGCTTGTCATTGGCTGCTATAAACTGGAAAGAAAAAAAAAAGAGGGGAAGAGATGAAAGAAGCAGATTATTCTCATGCTGATTGCAGATATCTGTTATAAAATATTAAAATCAAAATTAGTGTAGTAACTGATATTTTGAGTCAGTCCAGACAAAACATGTCCTACTGGAAAGAAGTCTATATTGTGAATTTCTTCATCATAATACTGAGATTAAAATGAAAGGTCTAACTAAAGAGATAGATCATCTATGTTATCAGATGCAATATCTGTGCTAAAAATACTTTTTCCACATTTATTGACAATGTATCAGTAATACTAGAAAAGTTTAGGCAATTATAAAGTATTTTGAAGTACATCACCTTTGTTCCAGCACACCAAATATGCTGGTAGTAGTCTTATCATGTATCTGTTGTTCACAAATTTCTCAATACAGAACAGTTTATACAGAGTCCCATTGCTACATGTCCAGAGGAGATCAGCAGGGTGACTCCTACAAAGCATAGTTCAGGACTGCAGCAGCACCTCAGGCTTTTGAATGGAACCACAGATGTCATCATTTTTCTTTCCTGAATACAAAATCAGCCCAGAGAAACTGGCAAGCTTAGATGCCAAGGGCATCATCATTAGAACTTGCCTATGTGCATAAATAAGGTGAAACTACCTTTTGTATTTGATTAATAATTAAAAAGTAATGAAAACACTTGCTTTATATAAATATTAAATGTAAATATACAAATAAAGGGAAAAAAACAAGTGTTTCATGAAGATATTTAATGGAGCAGTTCTAAGTCTTAAAACTTTGACTTACGCATTTCAAAACAAATTTTTTTGAGTTAAAGATGATATTTTCTTTCTTTCAAAAAAAATACAATCTCTATTTCAATCACCATGTACAGCAGCTGCCTTCCCTCCTGACTCTTGCTACCAAAGACACACTACTTACACGCAAGCCAAAGTAGAGTAGGAAGAACACATTGAAAGCCATGTCGATCTGTAATGTGAAATCTTTGTAGAAATTCTGGCAGGATTCTATTGGGCTATTTGAAAGACAAAGAAATCAGAATAAATTGTCAGTATATGAGTTTCTACTCTGCTGAGAATTGTATGCATTTTGTTAAAGACCTTGATCCAGAAATCACATTTCTGTTTTCCAGTCGTTTATAAGATACAAGCAAGCATTTCAAAGGAATTATTTCATTCATTCAGTTAGTCATTCATACAGTGTTTATATTGACCTGTTCAGGTAATATTTGAAAATTAACATGCAGATACCTTTAGGAGAGGACAAGCAGGAGAATACCTCAGGATTGCTTAACCCCACATTAACCCTTAAAGAACTGACTTCTTTCTAAAGAAGACACACCTATGATACTTTAGGAAGAAACCTAACAAGTACACAGGTACAGTGAAACATTACATGCTTTTAAGTCATAAAACCTTTAACAAAAAATAGTTGCTTAGGAATACATTACCCATTAGCAACCTGGAGTACTTAGTCTTGTAGAATCCCTTGTTTATAAAAAGTTGATTGGAATTTTTTTTCTATTTCTCACTTTTTTTTTTTCTTTTTTTTTTTTTTTTGTTGTTTTTTTGGTTTTTTTGTATGGCCATTTAATGTACTTTATGTACAGTACTATGAACTGAGTAGAAAAGCAGCATAGCCCACTGGTAAAATTAAATAACAAAATAAATTGAAGAATTTGAAGCAGTACTCTAAGGGTTAATTTCTGCATGCAGGTTAATTAAAATACCCTTGTGTGTATCAGGCAGCCATTGCAAATTTTAGCTTATTATTTTATGCTCTACTTGACAGTGGGACAAATCCAAAGCTTACTCTATACAAACTGGTACTTTATAAATATACTTTTTTTTAACTAAGGGAGGTGGTAACTTCCATAAGTATCATCAGTGATTTATTTGTGAGGTTTCTAAAATAGGTTGTTGAAGCCACAGTCCAATGTTGTAGTCATAGACCAAAGTGAAAATCATGTCCCAATATATGTCAGTGTATATACTATATATACATAATGTCCCATCATATATACATATATATACACACATATATTGCAAATGATCATGTGTTCATCACAACTGTAACAGAGGGAAACTAGAACGTAGATCATTTGAACATTTGGAGCCCTAGAAAAAATCCTTTTAGAAAAGCGGAAATTTGTTGGCTTTCTAGATCAAATAAATCACTGAGCATGAATACAATACCAGTTAGTATAGCAGTAGTTCTGCAAATATAATGCTAGACTGCTCAACAAGCAAGATTCTATGCATTATGAATGTCAGGTACCTAACTTAAGGCATAAAGGAAGTTACCTGGACTACCAGGTCATTACACATGCAGCCAAATTTTCCATTCCTTGTATACATTTCAGGTCAAACAAGTTAATTACAGCATGCTCTCTCCTGTCTCTAGATGCATGAATGTATACAGCAAAATTCTCCTTGATGTACAATCGGTTCATATTTTAAGAAGCTTCAGTGCTACAGGAAATTTTATTAGAATTGTTTTTCAAAGGCTATTTGAAAAGGCATTGAAGTGATGAGACACTTCTGTTACAGTTCAAATAAAATTGATTTACAAGAGCAGGTAGAAGGGAAGAGAAGCCAAATGTTAACATAAAGGAGAGCAGACAATACCTCACATTTAAAAACACAGTTTTAGCTACAAAAACAGTGGATGTAATTTGAGAACCCAAATGGATAATTTTCTGTACGGCACTAATGAGAACAAGGGATTTTGTCAAAATAAGGTAGGCCACACTGAGTCACAGTGCACCCTACCAACAGAAGTACAGAGGAACAGAACCAACAGCCCTGCACCAACCCTTAACTCCAGCTTAGGTACCTGCAAAAGCTGGAGAAATTCACTGAAGCTAATGGAATTGCAGAGGCTTATAACCAGGATAGAGAGCAATTTTTAGTTAAGGTCAGCTAAGGTTGCAGCTAACAGCTCTACTTTTGTGTCACTGTCTGTTACAAAAACCTACAAGATCTGACAAATTACCTAATGCATAACACATCTTTTTTTTTTTTTTTTGCAAAACACTTAGCAGAATGGATGACAATTCTGATTTGTGACTTTTGTTCACCTAATACCAAAATTGCACTTTCTGCTAGTGATATCCTTTAAGCTTCCTTCATTTCAGAGAGCATCCCTCTCTTTCAATGTTTAAGTTGTCCATTTCAAAGACAAACACAGCATCCTTTTTTTTTTATATTTCAAATGATGATTTTGTCAGAAGGGCATGATACTGAAGAAATTATTAATTTTTTTCACAGATGGATTATAAATAATTTTAAACATTCTAAATAAAACTTTCAGTTTGGATTTTTTATTTTTCTTTTCACCAGTAGCTGACATGTGAGCTGGCAGAAAAATATGGCCACTAATGTTTATCATTGCACAATTCAGCCTGCTGCATAAAGGAAGCCAATGTGAAACTCGCCTTTACATTGAGTTTCCCAAAACCAGAAGTGCTCTAAGTACTTCTTAGTAGTGCACTAGGGTCTCCAGGACCAGTAATAATACTAATAAAACTCCCTGGTTTATAATAAAACCACATGGCATATCCTATGGGATTTCACCCAATTCGGGCAGCAAAGGTTTCACTTCTGAAAAAGACAACAGACTATTAGAAACATTTTTATTCCCCTTCCATGTAAGCATGGTTTCATACATTTCTACCACAAAACAACAGGAGAAACAATGATAAAATCAATGAAACAGCATTCTAGCAATACAAGGAAAGATTTCATATAACTAGATAAAAATTACAGTAATGATGGAACTCTAAATGCAATGGGTGCCTCCCCCTAAAAAAAGTGGCAGGATCAATACTCCAACAACTCATGTGCACATGTGGTAAATGAGCCAGCTAGGGAAGGCATCCCACCAGAAATCTTTTTCTGAACAGAGGACTGGCGGCTGATGGGACAATAGGAGGTTGTCTTGGGCAGAGCAATCACAAAATGATAGATTTTGATTTCTGAAGAAATAATGTGGGGGGCAGCAGAACCCCCAGAGGGCAGGTTTTGGCCTGTTTATGATGCTGGTAGAGAAAGACCCTTGGGATGCAGTCCTAAAGGGCAAAGGAGCCCAGGAAGGCTGGACATGATTCAAGATGGAAATCTCAAATGCACTGAAGCAGGCCATCCCTATGTGTCAAAAGATGAGCTGGCAGGGAAGACCATCAGCCTGGCTGAACAGAGAACTTTGGCTGGAATTCAGGAATAAAAGTGCATCATCTTTGGAAGAAGGGCCAGGCAACTCTGGAAGGCTTCAAGGATGTTGTGAAGTTATGAAGGAAGAAAATTAGAAGGGCCAAAGCCCAGCTAGAACTAAATCTAGTTACTGGCATAAAAGGCAATAAAAAACATTTCTAGAAATAAATCAGCAACAGAAGGAGAGCTAAGTAGAATCTCCATCTTTTATTGGATGGAGGGAAACATAATGAAAAAGAATGAGGAGAAGTTGGAGGTACTTAATACCGGCATTGCCTTGCAGTCTTTAACAGCAAGAGCAGTTGTCTTCTGTGAACCCAGCACCCTGAGCTGGAAGACAGATAGGGAGCAGGATGAAGCCCCCCACAATCCAAGGGGAAATGCTCAGAAAAATACTACACCATTTAGACAGAAATCAAGGGGGGGGTGCATGGAATCCATCCAAAGATACTGAGGGAGCTGGCAGAAGTGCTCACCAAGCTACTTTCCATCATTTATCAGCAGACCTGGTTAACTGGAGAGGTCTCACCTCACTGGAAATTAGGAAATATGACAACCATCTACAAGAATGATCAGAAAGAGGATTCATGCAACTACAAGCCTGTCAGCTTGACCTTGGTGCTGAGGAAGGTCATGGGGCAGAACATCTTGAGTGCCAGCACAGAGCACATGTAGGACACCATGGCATCAGGTCCAGCCTGTTTGGGGTTATGAAAAGCAGTGCTGCTTGACCAATCTGATCTCCTTCTATGCAAGGTGACTTGCTTGGTGGATGAGGGAAAGGCTGTGAAAGCTATCCAGATTTTAGCCAAGCTTTTTACACCATTTCTCACAGCTGGAGAAACTGGAGAAACTGACTGCTCATACATTGGACTAGCTGGGTAAAAGACAGGCTGGATGGTGGAGCCCAAGGAGTGGAGCAAAACAAGTCAAATCTACCCGGTGTCTGATCACTAATGATGTTCCCCAGGTCCCAGCTTTGGAGCCAGTGCTGTTTAATATCTTGATCTATGATCTGGTCAAGGGAATTGAGTGAGTTTTCAGTAAGCTCCCAGACGACAGCAAGTTGAGCAGGAGTGATGATCTGCTAGAGGGTAGGAAGGCTCTGCAGAGGGATCTGAACAGGCTGGATCCATGGGCTGAGGCAAATTGTGTGAGGTTCCTGCACTCGGGTCACAACAATCCCATGCAGTGCTACAGGCTTGGAGAAGAGCAGCTGTAAAGTTGTTCACTGGAAAAGGACCTGAAGTTGCTGATAAGCAGCCAGCACGCCGTGAGCTAGCATGTGCCAAAGCAGCCAAGGGCAATAAGGTCCAGGCTTTTTAACAGGAATAGTGTGGCCAGCATGACCAGGGAAGGGACCATCCCCATGTACTCAGCCCTGGTGAGGCCACCCCTCGAGTGCTGTGTCCAGCTCTGGGCCTCACACTGCAAGACAGCGAGGGGCTGAGGCAAGTCCAGAGACGGGCAACAGCTGGAGAAGGGTCGGGAGCACAAGGGGCTGGGGCTATTCAGCCTGGAAAAAAGCAGGGTCAGGAAGGACCTTATCACTCTCTATCACTCCCTAGGGCCAGGCTGTAGCAAGGTGGGGGTCGACCTCTTCTCCCAAATATAAGTGACAGAACAAGAGGAAATGGCCTCAAGTTGTGCAGGGGAAGGTTAGACTGGATATTAGGGAACAAGTTTTCACTGAAAACACATTGAAAGAGGCTGCCCAGGGAAGTGGCTGAGTCACCATCCCTGGAGGTATTTAAAAGATGTATAGTTGTGGCACTTGGAGACACGGTTTAGTGGAAAACTTAAA